TGAGATAAGAAAGTAATTCATTTATTTTGAAGTAGAGAAGTGAAGTTACTGTCTGGAGGTGACAAAGAAAATAAGAAAGAATGCAATACTGACTCTTGAAGTTATAACTTTTGTCTTTTATCCAATGACTGTCTGATGTAAAACAGAGAAACAGTCCTGCGACCAGGGACTGACACCCTGGTCAGGAACCTCATCACCACTTGAGACTGAGGTTGCCTTTCGCTCCCTTTTCAGCCCAATGAATCTTAAGTTGTTCCTCCTTCCTCCTCCCCCAAAGTGGCACAGCTTCAGCAGCAGGGAGGTCCAACCCAGACCAGACTATTCACTTGGCAGAAGAGAACTGAAAAACATAGGTTTGAACCCCCTCCACTTTGATGATGGGCATGCCCCAGGTTTTCTAGTCTGTGGGCACAGCCACAACCACTGAGACACTTTGCAAAAGCAGGGGACCAATACCTCCTCCACTTCTGCTTAACCTTTGTCAAAAGAAGAGAAAGCTCTCAGCTCCGTTTTTGAAAGAGACAGTTTGGGCATCTAAATCCAGGAAAGGATCTTGGGCTGGGAAACCCAGCATAATACATGCACCACCCCCAGCCAAGAATTAGCTGCGTAAGCCCTTATGATGAGCAGGATTTAAGACATAACCCTCTTCTAAGTTTCTTACTGGCCAGTTCAGGCAGTTTTGCATTCACTGGGATTCACAGCAAGGTCTAAGGAACAGAACTCTTTTCTGGCATTGTACCGGGAGGTTAGATATCTAGGGCGCTGACAGATGCTCAGACCCCAGCTCTAACACATGGTGCTTTGCATAAAGTGCCATGAGTTAAAGAGCCCTCCCCCATAACAGATGTTTGCCTGTTGGGGGGAGGAAACAGGGAAATCAAACCTGCATGCAGGCGAGCAGAAAGTTAAAGAACCCACCCCACCCCGGTGCGGAGCGGCCCCTCTCCCCAATCCCCTCCAGTTCTGGGGCTGCCAGCAGGGAGGGACAGGGAAGCCAGCAGAAGTGAACTGCCAGCTGGGCTTTGTCTGGCCTGAGCTGGATGGGGGAATCAGTGGATAGGAGTCTCCCCTGCCTTGTGTCCCCCCGGCTGGGGAACGCGCGAGGCAGGGGGTTCCAATACATGCCCTCAACCCCCTCCAGGTCAGGCTTGGCAAAGCAGAAGTGGAAAGGAGCGGAACAGCAAAAGCTGCCGGCTTGCCCAGCGTGAGCTGGAGTGGGGTGTGGATCAGAGTCCCCCTGCCTCGTAGGCCCAGTCCAGCTCCCTCCAGTTCCCAGCTGGGGGA